GAAATTCTTACCAAACAATCCCTAATGTTGCTTTTTTAATATGAATAACGCTTATTTTTTCATGGATATTTAATGCTATAGAGAAACATTTTAAGTGTTTAGGGGTCTAGTGTAGTAGTGTGACGAATGCGAGTCAGTTTGGTTTCTTTTAATGTGGATATTCATTTGAATTGTATTTGTGTCAATTTCAAGGCAACGGAAGCATCAAGAATCTATTGTGAAAACTCAGATGTCTGCCCTACATACAACACAGTTGCCAGGAAATTGCAAAATGGCTACCTCTTCCCAACAGAAACAGGTAATAATCAACAATAATCTATTTTGAGCAAATCAATGTGTTCAGTTAGCTCTGTGGTTTGATTGTCTAGATTCTAAAATGATTGTCCACGTCGAAGGTAATGGGGAGTTAGAGGAGTGACTTATTGGTATAATATCTATAGTTCTTTGGAAGCACACCAAATTTTACTTTTGGAAAAATACTCTAACCCTAGGAGTAAAAACACTCATAAGCTCTTAAGTGAACTCCTAAAACACATTATGTAATTCCTTTTTTTATCTGATTTACAGGTGTGAGAAATTCTGAACATATGACATCCATCTCAGTCCCACCCTCATTCTTCCATCAGTCTAATAACACGATGGCCCAAACCATGGCTGACAAGACTCCACTAGATATTCTCCACAGAGACAGATTGGCTTGTCCACTGGTCCAGCATCACACTGACTCAAGGACAACCCTGCCTTTAGCAGCTGAGACCCTCAGAGCCCACCTCCCTGTGATTCAGTGCTGGAACCAGCCGGGCATCTCTTTCACATGGAGTCAGTTCCAACCAGATGAGAGGTTTATATTATCACAGCAGCCCTGGGATGTGAACGCCTATCTGGACTAAGTGCAGTGTAAAGTAACTAAGTACATTTACTCAATTGCTGTACTTAAGTACAATTTTGAGGGATTTACTTGAGTATTTACACTACACAGTACTTCTACTCCACTACAGTTCAGAGGTAAATCGTGTACTATTACTCCACTACATTTATGTAATACCTTTAGTAACTTTGCAGATTTGGATTAATGATGTGAAATATAATCAAGTGTTAAATCAGACTTTAGTTCCACCTGGAGTAAATTCACAAGCTACCCTGCAGTATACAAAGTCATTCAAACTAGCTGCACCTTTACCAGCTTTGAGAACACTTTAATGCATCAATAATTATAAAACATATCATATATATTATTCTGAAATGGACCAATCAGAATCTGCACAATGACTACTTTTACTTTTGGTACTTTAGGTATATTTTGATACTAATACTTTTAATTGAGTAACATTTTGATTGCAGGACTTTGACTTGTAACTGAGTTTTCTTATACTCTAGTACTTCTACTTTTACTTAGATACAAGCACAAGATATGAGTGCAGACTGAAGGGACATATTCTAACCAGCGGAGGGCGACAGAGGACTAGCGTTATAATCTTGTACTTTCCACACATTTTATTTTCCTTTTTTTTACAAATGCCTGCCTTTCCAAATCACTACTCACACTTCCTCAAATCATGAATTTGCCATTAACAGGGATTACGATAGAAATACATATCTGCATTTGTTCACTTGTTGACACAATTAATGGCTAAATAAATCCGGATTGAAAAGATAACAATGTGTTTTTTATGAAGTGATGAGTGTTTTAATTTGTGTGAATTTCCAGGAAAAAAGAGAGATATTGTATACCAAGGTGTTATTAAGCCATTGAGCAGAGGTTCTGTTTAAAAGGGTGTCGATTTCAGAGGCAACATCTAGTGCCAATAGAGAATGTTGAAACAAAAATGGTATTTGAGCACAACTTAACCCGATGCCCTACAGCAGGGGTGTCAAACTCAAGGCCCGGGGGCCAAATCTGGCCCGCGACTTCATTTTATGTGGCCCCACAAGAGCTTGCAAAGAATATCATGTTTGTTATACGGTTACATGGCGATTTACAGAAACACATTGCCCATACATGGAGCACAATGCATCTCAAATTTGACTTTTTTCTCAGATTTGACTTTTTTTTCAAAATGTCACTTTTTTTTGGTGATTTGGCTTTTCTTTTTAAATCATTTTGTGACATTCTCACTGAAGAGACTTGCAATTATTTGCCCTAGACTTCTGCTTTCAGACCTAGTTAATTATGAAGTTATTACCCTATCCTATAATAATCCAATGCAGAGGCAATGATGTCATATAATACATTATTTTATCAATATTAAATATTGAGATATTGATATATGTATTTTTATATAGTCTTAAAGTTACAACCGGCCCTTTGAGTGCAACCATAATGCGAATGTGGCCCGTGATGAAATTGAGTTTGACACCCCTGCCCTACAGCATTGTGATATACATCATAGTTCCATGGATCATTTAAGGTCACCACTGGATAATATAGAGGTTATCTCCTTTATAGTCTTGAAGGAGGTTAAGGCACTCCTCTAAGTTTTCCTTCAAGGGGAGGCCAGTGGGAGAATCTATAAAAGTAAAGCTTCAAAACGTCTAAACATGACCTGATACCTGCTCTGCTTCGGTATCAGCTTTTATGGCTACAGCAGGGCAGAGGCGTTGAGTTCCTGAATATCCCTTTACTGCAGCGAGGAGACGGTAAGACTGAGTTTCTCCATAATTGGTCACCCGAGGAAAGGTTGGGATCAGAAGGCAAAGCGCTTGGTCAGCAGCAGGGAAGTGGCCTGCTGGCAGTATGACCTGTTGGCCTGTAACGTACAGTCTGGAGCCAGAGAGGTAAATGACATCTCCACATGACAGTGTGTGTTTGTGTTGGGATTTCTAGTAAATCATCTGTAAGCCTTTTAAATAGATTTAGGTCAGTTATTGAAATGGAAACATGCTTTTACCTACAAACTCTCTTAGGGTAAGACCAGTGTTACTGTAAGTGGTCAACAACTGTGGTGGAAAGAAACTCACTTTACTCAACTATTCATTATTAAATAATAATACATTTGATTTATATAGCAGCACCTTTCATGCTAGATGCAGCCCCAAGTACTTTACAGAGCAAGACAAGATACATACAAATAACAATGAGTAAATATTCAAAGAACCATAAAACAATAAAACATGAACAGTGACAAAAACCACCCTAAATAAAATGCCAAATTAAAAAGATAGTTCTTTAATTTACTTTGAACAATTCCAATGTGCTGTTCTGATCCTTGGGAATGAAAGGTTCTTCTATTCCCATGTTATTTAATGTTTCTAGTGATATTTACTTGTTACTTTACAGATTACACTAAGAACTGTATGATAAACCTTTAAAATAAAACATAAACCATTCGTTCGCAACATTGTTGTCTTGGACCCCTTTCTTGGGACCCCCTGTCAACAATGTACATGGTTTCGTAACTGTTTGAGATCTACAAGAAGAAAGTGATTTAATATTTCACAAGAAAAGCAACGATTAGAGAATAAAATGTGATAAAACACAGATTAGTGAAGCAGAGGATCTGTTTTTGTCCTGCCTCATTAATCATCTCAAACAGTTCACTGTGACCCTTTAGAAGGCAACACTAAAAAGCTGCTTGAGAATTGAAGCAAGTATGATATCTTAGGTCAGCCTTTGATCATTTTTCTGCAAAACATGTACTTTTACTTTTGATGTATTGAGCAGATATTGCTAATAACAGTTATGTACTTTTACTATGATAATGATTGCACAACTTTTACTTGAAATGATGTGTTTTACATTACGTAAAGCTTCTTTTAATGGGGTTAAAGTACTTCTTGCACACCAGCCATGATCTGAATATGATAATTTGACACTACAATATATCTAACAGTTGAAGCATACATTTAATCTTATCTCATATTGAGCAACAGAACGTTTAAGAGCTGCTGAAAAGCTTATCCAGAGGTTGTGTCACACTCGAGTTTTGGACACCCTCATTTGTTATTTAAACGTTTCTGAAGACAGGTTATTATTCATCTCCTTCAGTGGATGTTTGTATGACCTCTGTTGCTTCCAGCCACTTAAGAATGTTCATCATGCAGCAGAATGTGCTGCTCTGACTGACTCAGAGAGTAAACGGCCAAAAAGCGAGAAAACAGATAAGCGTGTGCTGGTTCTTTGAACAAATTACAAATGAGTCTCCTTGCAAGCAGTGTGAAGCCGGATATGTTGCAGTTTTATGTTAGAAATAAGACAATTCTGGTGTGGTTTTTGATGTTATTGAGGATGCTGAAACAAATTCTGACATTAATAGAAAAATAAAAAATTGCAGTTTTGAGTCCCCTAAAACTTAAAAATCGAACCAAAGTCCATCAAAATCAGCCCACCAGGAGTACAAATATGGCCAAGATGATGATCAGAAACTGATCCAACACCCTCAAAAACCACTCAAAGTGTACATATTGGTCAAACCATTTCAAAAACTATTTTCTGCATAATGCTAATTAAAGGTGGGGTAGGTAATTTTGGAGAAACCAGCTCGAGTGCGCTAGAATTTGAAAATACACGACCCGAAAAAATCTGCTACTTCCTTACAGAGCCCCTCCTCCAACACACACGAACGCGCACATGACCAGTTATTTTAGCCGGGCCGGCTAAAATGATTGGTCGTGCTTTTTACAGTACTACGGCTTCCACAGATGACGTTTTTTTAATGGATTTTTGTCAAAGCACTTCAGATATTCATTGCTATCGGGATCTTAAGAGCATTCCATGGAATATAACAAAAAGTGTATCTCGAGCCGGTTTCTCAAACTTACCTACCCCACCTTTAATGCAACTTATGCTAATTGTGCGCATTTCCTAACATATGCAAGTTAGCATCTGGCAGTTTCTTTGTGCAGGGGACCTGTACTTTACATTTCTAACATAAAACGTTGGGGTACAAAGAAAGCACAACGTAAAGCTCAGTAAAATGTCAGTTGTTTATTAAAATAGGAATAATACATAGATACAAAATAAGTCATAGATATAAAACAACTCACTAACTCAAAATAGCAGCTGTTATATTTAAAGTTTACAGTATACAAATATATAAACAGAATCATCATGAAGAAAAATACTTAAGTATACTATTTACAAAAATGACAAAGTGTAATTTACAGAATGCACTGTGCTATTTACATTAAGGTAAATTAAATAACATTATAACTCCACGAGAGCACAGCTAACAATTTACATTACAATTATGATCCGCCACATAACCAAGATTACGAGATCTTTGGTTCAGTTGCCTTTAATTCATCTCTCTTATTACTTCATAGACTTTTGGTTTTAACCCGTGCAAGGATAGAAGACGATTGCATTTGTTCTCAAAGTACGATTAAGGCCACAGTTATAATTTAATTGCATAGTTATGGTCATTGAAACCAACCAAAGGCAAAAGGACTTAAAGGCTTATCGGAAATCCCCCAATATTAGTTTATTGCTATGTAATGATTTCCTTTTGATATTCAGAGCAGTCATTTTGGAGCTGATATTAAAATACTTTGTTTAACTTTGGCAAAGGAGCCAAACAAATATGAGTAAAATGAAATGCTTTTGATGCTAAACGAGGATGTTTGGCATCATTTAGGACATTTAAGGCAATATCCGGCATTCAGAAGCTTTTACTTTTCTGCTCAAAGACATTTCTAAGAGAAACGTGTCGTCTTGCTACTTTCAACTCCTCATCATAACCTGTATTGTTTCACTTATTCGGCTTAAAACTTTGTTTGTGTTTTCTTTTGTTTGGTAAATAAAATCTTCATGCATGTTAATGTAATGCCTATGTCTAAGGCCTATTGTTTTCATACCTTTAACTTGCTAGAATATCATTATGATATGATTAAGTGACAAGTTTTACATGTTTGTGCATGTGTACGTATGTGTGTGTATATGCACAGTAAATACATGATCAACTCTAGGCAGAACAATATTGATTTAGCCTGCAACTAGCACTCTTGAATGAAAGAAACCTGGAGTTGCTGTACTGTCACAGAGCATGTACTTCCATATTTGTGTAGCTAACATGTGAGTTAAACATGCACCCAAATTATTCTGGGGTCATAACTCCCTAATGAGAAAGGAACAACAATCTAAATATCACAAGAAGATCCTGATTGTTCTCAAACGATGTTTTCCTCTAATTAAAAAAATAAATATACCTACATAGCTACCAGTCTCTTTAAATATCGAACACAATCACGAAGAAGACAATCTGACATTACTCAGTGAACCAAAAATATTCCAGATCTATAAGACCTATAATATCTCACAGCACAGCAGAAGCATACTCGATACATCTGCAGTTATGTACATAAGGAGTAAACCAAAAAAGAAAACTATAAAATACCCTACTGACCACAAACAGCCCACCAGGGGCCAACGTTACCTCCAAACTGGAGACCAAATAGCCATGTTTTATTTGGCATGGCTGTTCTCTTTCTCACGCTACAAATATTAGCACAAGATTTCGGAGAAATTCGCCCAGTCCTACACAGACCCTCTCGAGGGGAAACTAAATGTTACAGCTAACTGGGGAAAGGTAGTCCGGCTACTGCACACAATTAGCACGGCATGTTTGCCAAGGCTTCTGCAGTTAGCTCCAAGCAGCAATAGTGTGTTGTATGTACCTAACTGCTGGTTTATCTAAAGCCAGATTTGAACATTTGCTGTACTCAGAGGAATAGGCTTAGCACTATTTTTGATTTGGACTTTTAGTGTCTGTACTACCCATAGACTATATATATAAACATATATATATATATAAGGTACTACCTTATAGATGACCCTTATTTTCCCCTCCTTTTTGGCATTACCTTAACGCTTTGTAGAATCATTTCAGAAGCTGAATGATGTATATTTGTCTTGCTTTGCTACACTGAAAAAACCTAAACAATGACTTGAATTAAGTGTCAACACATTTCCCACAACTGTATGAGGTTAGTTGAAAGTTATTATATTAAGTTGAACCTAATTATTTGTATTTAAACTTAATATTAGTGGTTTTTCAACTAACCTAATGCAGTTAGGTGAAATCTGTTGACAGAATAGATTTAATTAAAGTCAACGTCTTAGATTTGTAATGTATCCTACAATGAAAAACAAATGTAAACGTTGACTTAAATGAATGTATTATGTCAACAAATTACACAACCTAATTATGTGGAACCTGTTGTCATAATACATTTCGTTAAACTCAATGTTACATTTTTGTTCAGTGTAAAATGTGTAACCAGATTAGTACATTTGTGTTGAAGGTAATAAAATAGGTTCTGCAGTTCAGCTCAACACATTAAAAAGAAAGAAAAGTCCCAGTCACAGGAGGGTTCCACGTGCGGAAACCTCTAGACATCTGGGTTCCGTCCATATTCAAGTATATTCCAGGAGATAATACTGAGTCACAAGGGTCATTCTCATTGTCTTTGTTTGCATGGCTTCAGAAATTCTGAACATGTCAAAATAGAAATAGTTTGCCGTGCATGTGCCCAAGACTTTGTTTTTTTCAAAATGATAAAGCCAGGATGTCTTCTCTTGCAAATTGGAAGAACGAATGAGAATCCTTCATCCAGTCTTCTATCGCTGTCATCATCTTCAAATGAAAAATTCTGCCACAAAATGCAAAAACGGCCACTTTCCATTCGGGGATTTTCCTTGTTTCTTCCTTGTGTCCATTTGATCACCACACTATCAGTTCCTCTCCAAACTGGGGTAAAGTTTGAACACTTTGTATATCCACTCAGAGTAAAAAGCGACGTTAACAAAGAGCGCAGGCTGCGATGACGCACATTTTGTCCTTTGGATGCTCACGCCAATTATCACTTTACGCTCATGTTCCTGGCAAACCAATGGACCGCCATTATCTTTCTGCAAGAAAAAAGGGTAAAGCATGAAGCATTAGAGAAACAGTATGATAAGAAGGACTTTATACAAAACTCCAATGTCTCAAACTCTGATACAAGGCCTAAAATATGAGTTCAAACACATTTCCATTCGACCTTCAATGGTTTCTGGTTTCATTTGCCACTTTTTAGATATACCTCTGTTGCCACCACAATGAAATGAGAAATATGGAAATATTTCAGTTGGAAATTGGAAAGTCAAGATGATCAGCAGCTTTCAATGTCAACTATTTTCATTGGGACTACTTCTTCAGGAGAAAGTAGTTCCAGTGAAAACTCTAGATGCTGGCTTTTTATTGGGCAAAATCACCTTTTTGGTATTTGTTAGGATCTGTCTGTGTTGGTGTTTTTCTTGTCTTTTTCTATCTTTGGGTTTCCTGTTTTATTTTGTAAAGTGTTCACCCCCGTTTCCTGCCTGTTTGCTTTCTGTCTGTTTCCCTCCCTGATTACCCGATTGTGTTCACCTGGTGCCTCTGTGTTTTCTCCTCCCTCCTCACCTGTCTCGTGTTTATGTGATTAGTCCTGGGTGTATTTAAGTTCTGGGTTTTCTTTTTCTCTTTGTCGGGTTGTCTTGTGTAATGACCAGTTCATCGGTGAGTGTTCCGTTCTGTCTCTGTTTGTTGTAGATTTGTAGCCTTGAAATAAAGGAGTTATTTTCGTTATATCTGCATTTGGGTCCTGATTCCTGCACACCGTAACATTACAACCCGAACAAAATATGGGCCCAGCAGATCCTTTTGAGCAGGAGCTATTGGAGTTTTCCTTGGCTTTGCATGACTGCTCGTATCGATGGTTGGGAGCGTCCAGGGTTCAGCAGCGAGAGGCTGTTCTGGCAGAGGCACGCCGGATTACTATGGAGAAGCCAGGCTTGGTTAAATTCTTATCGGGCAGGATTTTGGATTTTCTCACGGTGTGTTATCCCCTGCCTGACAGTCCCAGGCCTCCCAACTCCCGTTTTGATACCACACGCATCGGTGTGGTCCGTCTGGCGTCAGCCCCTGCTTCTCACCCAGTGTTTGCTACAGTCCAGGAGCCATTCGCTGGTACTCGTCTGGCCTTTGGAGGTCCATGGAGCCTCCAAACGGCTCCTAAAGGAAGGAGTCGCAAGGCCAGGTTGGCAGCACGAGCCCAAAGGGCCAGAGTTCCAGAACCAGTTCAGCCCCCAGCAGCCATGGTTACGGCCCCAGTTCTGGCCCCAGCAGCCATGGTCCCGGCCCCAGCAGCCATGGTTCCAGACCCAGTCCCGGCCCCAGCTGCCATAGTCCCTTCTTTAGTCCCTTCCCTAGTCCCTCCACAGGTCACTTTCCTAGTCCCTTCTCCAGTCCCACCTCTAGTCACTTCTCTCGTCACTTCTCAAGTACCAACTCTAGTCCTTTCTCTAGTCCTTTCTCAAGTCCTTTCTCAAGTCCCTCCTCTAGTCACTTCCCTAGTCCCTTCTCCAGTCCCTCCTTTAGTCACCTCTCTAGTCCCTTCTCTAGTCCCTCCTCTAGTCCCTTCTCTAGTCCCTTCCCTAGTCCCTCCTCAGGTCACTTTCCTAGTCCCTTCTCTAGTCCCTACTCAATTCATTTCTCAAGTCCTATCTATAGTCCCTCCTCTAGTCACTTCCCTAGTCCCTTCTCCAGTTCTCCCTTTAGTCACCTCTCTAGTCCCCTCCCGAGCCCCTTCTCTAGTCCCACTTCTAGTCCCACCTCGAGTCCCCTCTCCAGTTCCCTCTCAGGTCTCCTCTCGAGTCACATCTCGAGTCCCCTTTCGAGATCCCTCTCAAGTCAACTCTCAAGTCACCTCTCGAGGTCCCTCTCAAGCCCTCTCTCCAGTCCCCTCTCGAGTTCCCTCCTCTAGTCCCTCCTCTAGTCCCTCCTCAAGTCCCTCCTCAAGTCCCCTCTCGAGTCCCCTCTCAAGTTCCCTTCTCTAGTTCCTCCTCTAGTCCCTCCTCTAGTCCCCTCTGGAGTACCCTCTCTAGTTCTCCTCTCGAGTCCCCTCTCGAGTTCCCCCTTGGTTCCCCTCTCGAGTCTCCTCTCGAGTCCCCTCTCGAGTCACGTCTCAAGTCCCTACCCAATGTCGTGGTCCGTTGGAGGTTCCGCTGGGGGTCCTGCCAACTCCATGTCCTGTCCCGTTGGAGGCTCTGTCGACTACTCCTCTGCCGGGGGTCCTACCAATCGTATGTCTGTCCCGTTGGAGGTCCCGCCGTCTACTCTCCTGCCGGGGGTCCTGTCAGCTCCTTGTCCTGTCTCGTTGGAGGTCCCGCCGACTACTCTCCTGCCGGGGGTCCTGCCAACCCTTTGTCCTGTCTCGTTGGAGGTCCCGCCGTCTACTCTCCTGCCGGGGGTCCTGCCAATCCTATGTCCTATGCCATTGGAGGCCCCGCCGACTACTCTCCTGCCGGGGGTCCTGCCAGCTCCTTGTCCTGTCTCGTTGGAGGTCCCGCCGACTACTCTCCTGCCGGGGGTCCTGCCAACCCTTTGTCCTGTCTCGTTGGAGGCTCCGCCGACTACTCTCCTGCCGGGGGTCCTGCTAACCCTATGTCCTGTCCCGTTGGAGGTCCCGCCGTCTACTCTCCTGCCGGGGGTCCTGCCAACCCTTTGTCCTGTGCCGTTGGAGGCCCCGCCGACTACTCTCCTGCCGGGGGTCCTGCCAATCCTATGTCCTGTGCCGTCGGAGGCCCCGCTGACTACTCTCCTGCCGGGGGTCCTGCCAACCCTTTGTCCTGTCCCGTTGGAGGTCCCGCCGTCTACTCACCTGCCGGGGGGCCTGCCAACCCTATGTCCTGTCCCGTTGGAGGTCCCGCCGTCTACTCTCCTGCCGGGGGTCCTGCCAATCCTTTGTCCTGTCTCGTTGGAGGTCCCGCCGTCTACTCTCCTGCCGGGGGTCCTGCCAATCCTATGTCCTGTGTCGTCGGAGGCCCCGCTGACTACTCTCCTGCCGGGGGTCCTGCCAACCCTTTGTCCTGTCCCGTTGGAAGTCCCGCCGTCTACTCTCCTGCCGGGGGTCCTGCCAATCCTTTGTCCTGTCCCGTTGGAGGTCCCGCCGTCTACTCTCCTGCCGGGGGTCCTGCCAACCCTTTGTCCTGTGCCGTTGGAGGCCCCGCCGACTACTCTCCTGCCGGGGATCCTGCCAACCCATTGTCCTGTCTCGTTGGAGGCCCCGCCGACTATTCTCCTGCCGGGGGTCCTGCCAACCCTTTGTCCTGTCCCGTTGGAGGTCCCGCCGTCTACTCCCATGCCGGGGGTCCTGCCGGCTCCTTGTCCTGTCCAGTTGGGGGTCCCGCCGACTACTCTCCTGCCGGGGATCTTGCCAACCCTATGTCCTGTCCCGTTGGAGGTCCCGCCGACTGCTCTCCTGCCGGGGGTCCTGCCAATCCCGTGTCCTGGTCCTCTTCCGTGGGGGATCCTGCCGAGGTCTGTCCCACCAGCTCCGGTTCGTGTCCGGCCGACACCGGGTCCTGCCCGGCCTCCGGCGCTGTCCCGTCAGCACCTTCCTGCCCGGCCTCCGGAGCTATCTAGTCTTCGCCCTCAAGCCCGGCCCCCTGAGAGCCGCGGTCTTCGCCCTCGAGTCCGGCCCCCTGAGAGCCGCGGTCTTCGCCCTCGAGCCCGGCCCCCTGAGAGCCGCGGTCTTCGCCCTCGAGCCCGGCCCCCTGAGAGCCGCGGTCTTCGCCCTCGAGCCCGGCCCCCTGAGTGCCGCGGTCCTCGCCCTCGGGCCCGGTCCCCTGACTCTTCCTGCCGTTGCCTTCGCCCTCGGGCCCGGCCCCCTGACTCTTCCTGCCGCTGCCTTCGCCCCTCCATGGTCCCCACCTTGGACTCTGTCTTGCCCCCGGGCCGTCCGGCCGAGTCCCCCTTTTTGGACTCTGCCTTGCCCGTCCGCCCGAGACCCCTTCCTGGTCCTCTGCCGTGCCCCTGGGCGGTCAGTTCAGTCCCGTCCTCCTGACCCCCTCCACCCACCCTGGTGGCTTAGTGATGCGTCCCTCCTCCGGACCCCCTCCATCCACCCTGCTTGAGGTTTTGGACTTTTTGTTTTGTTTTGGGATGTCTGGGATCCGTCCCTTGAGGGGGGGGTACTGTTAGGATCTGTCTGTGTTGGTGTTTTTCTTGTCTTTCTATCTTTGGGTTTTATTTTGTAAAGTGTTCACCCCCGTTTCCTGCCTGTTTGCTTTCTGTCTGTTTCCCTCCCTGATTACCCGATTGTGTTCACCTGGTGCCTCTGTGTTTTCTCCTCCCTCCTCACCTGTCTCGTGTTTATGTGATTAGTCCTGGGTGTATTTAAGTTCTGGGTTTTCTGTCTCTCTTTGTCGGGTTGTCTTGTGTAATGACCAGTTCATCGGTGAGTGTTCCGTTCTGTCTCTGTTTGTTGTAGATTTGTAGCCTTGAAATAAAGGAGTTATTTTCGTTATATCTGCATTTGGGTCCTGATTCCTGCACACCGTAACAGTATTATATACTTTAATGTTGCATTCAGGGTTGTTTTTGTTCTTACATCACATACGCCTTCTCCTCTCTTGCCGCCGGCACATATTCTGCTTTCTCCAGCGTCCCCTTTGATTTGTGCGCACATTTCGTTGTTGACCATGGGCATGGTCAGAGTGTTCAGCGCCTCATCGTATCCTGTGTCTGGACAGAAAAGGATACGCAGTGTGATTGTTGAATCCTACTAATATTATTTTTTTAGTTCAAATGCAAGGTGGCATGGCAAATGTGGGGAAGAAGGCAGTACTTTTGGTTTCCCCCCATCCATACATGGTGCAGTTGGTGCCTTCAGGGATGTGACACTCTTTCACTGGAAGATGAATTGTAGAGGCACCTTCAGACACAGGGGCAGGGCTACAACACAAATAATAATAATAATAATTAGTTCATTTTATAAAAAAAAATTAAAAAACGCACATAAATAAGAACCACATAGAGCCAATAACAACATTTTCTAACGTGTTACATTATCAGAGATACAATAGATTAAAAAGTTGTTCATATAACCAGTTATGCTCTAACATTAGGATCTTAAATAGGTGAAAGTGCAATGAAATGTTGACTTTAATTTAAAAATGTGTGAGTAGTTAAGAACTTACTCTTCTAGTTTTAGCATAACCAGGTTGGATCCTTCCGGGCCACAGATCAGGCGAGAGATGCGTAGTCCCGGGTGGTTGGAGGATTCGTTGAGGTGGCGCACTCCAACCTGCACACTGTAATCCTTGAGATCTGGAACACTGAAGCCAACAAGGACCAAGACGTAAGTCGTAAACCTATACAGTAATGTTTCTTATATATATCAGCAATTGGCCCTGAAACGTAAAACTTTACCAGAAAGCATGCTTAAAACGTGGAGTTTGAAAGAGGTGGACATTTAGGATGATGCAAAATGCTATGAAGTTGGGATATTTTATTATAATAAATGTTTTGACTAGTCACAAAAAGTAATATTACACATTACTTGCAACACGTTAAACTCCCACAATTAACGATTCATTGTTTGCAGTTCTTCATGAAAACATTTTAAATATAAAAATATACTGTGTATTACTTTCAAATGATCCTTTATGCAATATGTTTTAGATGGACATCATGTAAAAGAAAACATGTTTTTGTAGACACACACCAGTTTCTCTAACTATCAGCTTAAAGCCATTGATGTATACCATATGGAATACATACAGAACTGTACCTAACTACACAGATAAGGAAATGTCCTCAAAGCCAGTACTTCAGATAAACAGATATCATATTATGTGACTGGCTCTGACATAAAAAACTACAGAAGTTAAACATTTCTGCTCCATGTCTCAGGTCAGGCTTGTCTGGGAGGGGGTGCAATAGTAAACAGGATAATCCTGCATCTTTACAGTATTCAAAAGAAAAGCAGCAAGAAAAAAAGAAGCAATTTTGAGAGAAAGATCAAATGGAAGAGGTTAACAGGAGAAGTATTTTGTCAGACAGATACATTGGTGGAGTTTTACCAGGAGGTGAAGCACTGTTGATCCGTCAAAACCCAATCTTCTCTGATCAACGAGCCCCCACACAAATGAACCTTCCTAAGGAAATTTTAAAGAGACAATGTTGCCATTACAGTAGGTATAAGAGCATAAAAAGGGACAAATGTTTTAAAAGCACAGATGTAAATTGACTTACTCTCTTTGGATGCTTACAACCCAGCTGCCATCTGTACCCCGCACTTGGTGTCCTCCAACTATTCTGGTGTTTATATGCACAAAGCATGATATCTTGGTGTCTGTTGGAGCTGAACAAGAACACATTTCATCCTGCATGTTAGATGGATATATGATTTACCTTGACAACAACAAAAGGCAACCATAAAATATGATTTGTTTAGTCAGGAACATGACAACAGACGGATTTGATTTAGGAAGTAAACATGCAAAATGAAGATTAGAGATCAGAGGAAGAGGACTAGACCGGTAAGAGCCAGATAAGTCAAAGCGATACTTACTGTTGGGTTGAGGAGACACTGTGGCTGATTCACCTGATAGATGTAAAGAAAAGCAGAACTGTAAGAAGAGAACCAACAGCAGCAGGACATTATTTAGACCACTGACCATACATTGACACATACAAATGTAAAACCTAATTGAAAGAGATATCCTTCTTTACTTTACTCTGAATCTGAGTAGTTGTTGGAGGCTATAACCGTCAGCAAATACATTTGCTGAAGACCTCAAAAAAAGTCTTGATTGATATGTTTTACATTATGTAAATGATTCTGCAGTCATTTGAAAGGGGCTCTTCATTGCGACCAGATTGAAACTAGCCAAAGAAAATGTTGTGTCGAGCCTCCCGAGTGTTTCTCCAATAAAAAGATGGCAGTAGAGACCTACAGCTGTTTGATGTTTAAGCAGTGTGTATTCTCTGCCAATTGGACAAAACCACAGTTTACAGATTATAGAAACCACCAGCCAAGATGTTTAAAAATACAGTTATGACATTTGAGTTGAAGTCAACAAAGGGGAGAAAGCTAAACCACTTACTATTTTTAATTACTCACTTTATTCTTTAAAGCAGAAATGTTTTACTTTCGTGTAAAAAGCTGGGATTAGAGTTGGTAGTGTTTGCTTGGAAGATTAAAGGGGCCCGGGCTGCTAATCGTCCCATGATGAGAGTACAATATCTTCCATCTATAATTTTCCTAAACTTGGTGAGACTAATTATTCTAGACAAATATTTTGCTTTTGTTGTTGTGATTTGTTCAGAATCTGGCGAAGAAACACCCTAATATAATAATTCTCTCATTGTTCCTGAGCTTATGGCATGTTGCAGACAAGTAGTCTTCATTTCCGAGGATGCATAAAAAAAACCTCTGACCGCACATGTGTTAGTCGTCAAGTGCATTCATATTTTTTTGAGCTGTTTTCAGACTAATGAACGGTGCCAATTGGAATTTCCTGAAACCCCAAATCCACACCTGCTTTCTCTAGAAATTAGCCAGGTGTCCACAGGTGTGAAAATATACAGAACTCCTAAGTGGGTTATAATTTTCTTCATGTGTCCAAAACATGGATCAACAATTATGAAAAACAACCACTTGCCTGTTCTAGTCACATGCACATTTTTATATCATTTTCCAGAAAAGTAAACAATGCTTCCAAGCGCATTTTGGAAAATGTTCTCTATTTTTTGGTCAAGAGTTAAAAGAAAAGAATGATACCAGATACATCTGTCTGTACGCAAATAGCTAGCTAGCACTCTGTTAGCTTAGCACAAAGCTTGGAGACAGCTAGCCATGTTTTGTTAAAAGATAACACAATTATTCTACCAGCACCTCAAAAGCTCACTCATTAACATGTTCTGCCTTGTGTGTATATTCTTTCAAATAGTTTAAAAACTAAATGTTGTGGTTTTCCAGCAGTTTTAAGTTTTTTGAGCTAAGCTATGCTAATCAGCTGCAGGCTCTGGCAGCATTACCATACAGGTATGAAAGTGGTAGGCCTATCGGTATTTTTTTACCGAACTGTTTGCCAGGATTTTTATAAAATTGAACTACCCCCTTTAGGGAATACCAAGTAGATATTTTAAACATTGCCCTATACAACATCAACAATAATTCACGTCATTTCTACCATGGTCTGCTAATATCTATGGCTGACACAACACAGATGTATCTATGTACTCATGTATGTTATAGATACATTAAAGAGATTAGGTATATTAAAGTCACTCACAGTGCTTCAGTTTGCAGTAGTCCCAGGCCAAACGGTTATTTGGATTAGTGTAACACCAGGGTCCATGTTTGTCCCGGTCCGGGTTCCGGCAGTAATTCCTCTCCAGCCCTACATGGGATTCTGTAGAGTGAGAATCCCCACTGTAAAACACACAAATACAGATTCTCATGTTCCATTTGTTATTCTGCACACAGTGTATCAGAACCAACACTGGGCCACGTCTCATGAAGATTCATACGCACTTTCACTCTAAAAACAGAGCATCTGCACACATGGGGGATCACAAGCACCATCACACACATACAATGCATACACACACTGTAAGTGACCATGGTATGCCTGGAAAGTCTGACTCTAGCTTTCCTGTAGTGCAATGAATCCTCTGCATTCGCTACACAGAGCCCATAGAAGGAAACACAGAGTTTTGTGAAGAGTACTCATGGGAGTTTGAAAGTATGCACTCTAAGCATGCAGCAGAGCTCAGACCGGCAGGAGCCACATCCTCTATGAAATGATTCCGTTGTCCATCCTTTTTTAAGGAATTCACATTTAATTGTGTGTCTTTATGCAATGTTTAACCTCACTTAGATGGGATCTTCTCAAATATCCAAAATATTACTGAGAAGCAATTACTCGCTAGGAGTTTGGACACACACACAGAAACATAATGTTAAGTGATGGCCGGCAATTTGTCAGGAGGTGAAGATAATTCTACTTCCCAGGAGATTGTTAAACAAGCTGTAGCGTTTAGCAGTTTTTCCTTGGATGACCCTTGACCTTGAGCAGGGTAGACTCGCTGGCTGCAGACTATGCGAGGGAGCTGATTGGCTTTGATCTACTTTCCTCAGAAAGCACTTCCTGGGGTCAGGGGTCTGTTCTGGAACATGTCCATCTGTCTGTGCCATTTTGGCTTTTAGAATTCCTGTAAATTAAGTAATTCCAACAGCCTGACTTAAGCATGAAGCAACAACCCCGGAGTGGGCAACCTTTCCGTCAGGATGGGTCACTTGGAGAGCACCCCAGGGTTTCCTCTTGTCAGTTAGATGAATAATAATTGGTCTTGGTATTGACCCCTGAGGAACCCCTGATTTCCTCTTGCTGTTTGTTTTCACTGCTGAGCTTCATGCATATGAAAGGGATTTTCACAAGGCAATGGGAGCTGAGCCCATAACAAGTTTATCAGCTTCTCTAAGAAACATATCCAGTGTTTCCCGGTAAAACTAAAGCTTGAATGGGAGTTAAGGGAAGAAGCTTTGATGCAAAAGAATTTCTTACCTGTTTATGTGATGTGACCAGTCTGCACAGGGAATCCCCGATCGAGTTATGGATAACGTGCCCCGGTACGTCTCTCCGCTTTCATAACACTCTGATAAAGAAAGAGATATTATTATTTTAGACAATCTTTTTCAAAGTTCCCAGGAGAGCATATAATTACTTAGCCCAGCAGTTTCCCAAACACTTAAATGTAATCAGTGAGTGAGCAATACTCTAAGAACTACACACATCACATAAGTGGTGGCTGTCTTTCTCATTGATGCAAAAATAACATAATCATGTTCAGATTTTTGGCTTTCTCTTTGGGGTTTGGATGAATTTAATGTCAAGGGCCCTTTTGAAAATGGTGGTAGACTTGTTTAAACCAAATCAGAAGTGGGCCTGTGGCAACTTACAGACTTGCTGCAGTTTTTACATCTGACTGTAAATGTAAAGCAGAGAAACATGGGAGATGACAGAGAGCCGAAGTACAGTATTATGTTTTTGTTCTTCCATGCAATGGAATTCATAGGGCAGCATGCTTCCAAGTGGCCCAGTCCTACGGGAGCAATATGGAAAGCATCTGTCTAACTTCACTTTGCAAAAACATGACATGGCTTGCAGCATTTGTAGTTCAATCACATTATTCAAGGAAACAACATGATTACTTTTTTTTAATATGCTGCTTGGAAAACAACGATACTCTTAAAGCTGCGGTTGTTAACTTATATGTAACATATAGACCACTGTCATAACTGTAACGTGTATATGTAGCTACAGACCCCAGTCTTCTTAGCTTTATACATACAGATTGAGTACAGGTGGAAATCAGCAACGATAAAAAATGTATAAGCAACACATCACATCTTGTTAATGTATGTTCACTGTTTGCCAAGAAATAGATACAGCCCACAGCTCCCTATAAAACCACTGTTTTTCATTTCTGTTTCCAGATTGAAACTATAAAATAAAATAAAGAAATGTCTTAGTAAACTTTAATACTAGTAGAAAGCAGTTTTTCCCTTTTTCTAATCTATAATCTATATAATACATGTTTCTCATCTAAAGTTTGGGAGAAAGCTGAATAAGCATATTTCGACAAATGTTGAACTGTTCGTTAAAAGTTATACAAAAATGTTACCTATTTTTTGTGTGGCCTCAGCATCACACCTGGGGATGTGGGTGCAGTTGGCTATCCTCTGATTGGGGTCTGTAGTGAAGCACCATGGGTGATCGGCGCCATCAGGGTTACGGCAGTAGTTCTCTGTGAGGTCTCTAAAACACATACACAAACTACGATTTAAATGATGGTGCTGAATTAGTTTGCAAAGCTATCATTTTTATGTATCAGGCTCATCACTATTTTGAAATCAAATGCAAAAAATGAATAAATCACCTCCTTCACATGGCAGAAAAAAATTAATTTAAGCTTTGAGAGTCCATGAATTAAACATTACTCACTTGCATTTGAAGTTCTGGGGAAGAAAGGAGTGGTTATGGGGCGACTGGGAGTCCCAGCGCTGACATGTCACACCCTCTGGAGTGACATTCATTGTGCCTCGGTAATCTGTTCCTTTTCCCTGGACACAGGATGTTGTTACATTGACATCTGTGTCCTCACTTGAGTCAGAATCTAGCCAGAAAAATACATAGAAATTGTATTTGTGAGTGTAAGCATGAGAAAGAAGGTTGCTAAAGAGATTTAGAAACTGAAGATAGGAGAGAGGGAGGGAGATATTAATCCCCAGAAGAATGTGTCATGTTTAACCTAGAGACAGATGATCAAAAACAGTAGCACTCCCCCCTTGCCTCAACTGCGATAGGAACTTTCTGTGTATTCATAACATGGGTGCCCCACATTCTTGCACGTAGGGACATCAACAACAATATGAAGTTATTTCACCCAATATGTCAGAGATCTTTGTAAGAAAAACTTGGAACGTGATCACAGAATATATCTTTGCCTCAACATTAAACAATGTTCGTGAATCGGTGTATTGCAGCCCAACCAAAGATTTCACAGCCAACCCGCTCTGGCTGGGGCAACTTTATCCACCGGAAAACTATTCTAAACATCCTCAGATGGAATTCTGCTTTTCGGCATTGCAGGGATAGCAGTACATGGGGAGCAACTTCTCCCCTCTGGATTACTGTCTCTGTTTCTTTAGCCTTTGACAAATGAGATGGGAGAAGATGGAGGAGGAAAGGGGAATGAAAGGCAGGAACGAGAAGGCTGATGGAGAAGAGGGATTCCTTGGCTTGATGTAATGCATGCCAGTGTCTGTGTGCGCGGCGTACTACAGGTCATTGGTTTTTATCTTTCTGGGGGCAGGCATTGAGGGATGCACACATCTGGATAAATGCAGATCCTCTACCTTCGCTGTAAATCACACCATGTACTGTAAAGTCAATGTGTGTATGTGTGTAACAGAAACAAAAAGAGATGCTCGGTGTGTTTGTGGGTGAGCATGCAGGAATATTTCCATGTTCTTTCAAAGGAAAAAATAATAATTTCTCCAGTCGGTATTCTCTTTTTGGCATCCATTCTTTTCTCTTTCCCTCTGTATTTGTGTATGACTTGTAAAAAGGCAAAAGTTATCTCAATTACATCTTGGTCAGACACTGCCAAATGTGAAATGAGTCAAGGGAGCTGACTCAAGTTTCGATATGCTCAACATACGACAACAAGTGTTTATATACAGCCATAACAAATACAATAGGGCAATATTTAAAATAGAAAAATGTTCAAATAATTGATTTGATTGATAATTTTGCAACTTTTTATGGACAACCACGTAGTTGTTTGGTTGTGATCGTGAATAGTCTTCACATGTATTGTTTTAATTCTAGATCGAAAGACATTCCGTTGACACTGATGTAAAATGGAGAAAAAAGGCTGGAACGGGACAAAGTTTGGCGATTACTCTAAAAATTACTTCAGGATGCTTATGTAACCCTGGTTCTCTGAGTAACACAAGCAGGCTGTCTCACAAATGTTTTGACTATGGTGTCAGACAGCGCGTCAATCCAAAAGCTTCCACAGGTCATTGATATCTGGCCACAATATATTTCACATCACTTAAATCAAACCATTCAGTGACCGTTTGTTTCTGGTAATGCATGGCAGCATCTGCATGAAAACTGTTCCTCCACTCTAATTTTCTTTTTATCGATAATCTTCAAACCACCAAAACATTTATGAAGCCTTCTGATGGCCATGTGACGCATCCCTGTATAATAGCCTCCATTGTGACTTTCCATATTACAGCTCTTTGTGATCCATCAGTGGTCTCGGTCAAACACTTCTGGCTCTCTGAAGTCAGACCCCCCCCTTAACAAACAACCTATTTACTCTTCCTTGTTGAGGTGAAAGAATTTGAAGCCAAGTGCCACATGAAACACTTTGCCGGGTAAACAAAAGCATTATGGAACTCGGCAGGAGAGAAAAGGGATGTTATTACTTTCTCACCACAACCACCAAAGTCCTGTATGTATTAAACCTCCTGGCGCCGCCAACCCACAAGCTGGTAGAACTCAATTGCATTCTGTCTGTCTGTCCTAAAAAAACAAGATCCAAATGCCCCGTTCACTTATGAACCCTATGATGTATATGTAACAATGAGTTTGTGACGGTACTAGACTGAGAAAAAACTAGCAACTGAGTCATAAATTAGTTAAACAATAATTTGGTCTTTAGTTGATGACTTTGTCTACAAAACCCAAGCCCCAGGAGTATATACAGTACGTAGGCCCTTACCACACACAGAGATGTTGCAGTACTCCCACGGAGTTTTAGGATCCACCGTGTAGCACCAGGGACGAAGGCGATTATCTGGGTTACGGCAGTAGTTGTCCTTTAAATCTTTCTGTCGATACCTGAGAGAGGAGACAGATTGGATACAGTGAGGAAAGAAAATAATGTTGGAGGGAAAGACGTAAGTCATAATAACTGGTGAGGTCTACCTCTCCTGAGTATTAGCGTTAGTTATTTAAGCATCTGTCATGGGTGTGTGCAGCATTGTCTGTGAGAAGGGTTTTTTAGCAGGATTACCAGCTTTGCAGCTTACCTTTTGGGTTGGAAGTGGTGTTTGTGAGGTCTTGTTGAGTCCCATCTCTGGCACTCCTTGCCACTCTCTGTTTGGTCCATTTTTCCCCGGTAATCTTCACCATTGCACATAATACAGACTTCTGTTGTCAAAAAATACAACATTTATTAAATAACTCTTCCTTCTAGTACTGAATACACACAATTCAAGACTTCAAGAAGGAAACAAGGCTCCAGCTAACTGTAATCTTCAGATTATCTTCTCAATAAATCACTTAATCTATAAAGAGTCAGGAAAAAGTGAAAAATGTCCATCCTGGTTTCCCATAGAACAATCTTTATATGTACTTGTGTCAGTCCAGAACGCAAAAATATTCAGTTATGAAATAAAAACACACAGTAAAGCTCTACAGTGTATACAAGACTAATTGTTGCTGCTCTAGAAAATGAATTATAGAAACATTAATTAAATGTTTCAACACCTCTGGAAAGGAACATGACAGTAACTCCCTAACATGATTCTGCGTTATTTTGGACACATTTTATTGGAGTGATGTTTTTGTCTTACCTTGTGAACACTGTGGCAGGCCACACTCCTCGGCTCGTACGTTGGGATCTGTAGTGTAGCACCACGGACCACCAGGATCGTTGTTGGGATTTCGACAAAAGTTCTCCCTCAGGTCTTGCGTTGGGTACCTATCAGGAGAAAATCTACAGGGGAGTAGACATAAATTATTGACTATGTTACTGATACTGTAAGCTGTATAAATACATTTCAGGGAGTACTTGCACACTTGGCTGCTCCAGTGGTGTATACATCAACGTACCTGCCTGCAAGTGCTCTCAGTAACAGCCCAAATGAATTCAAAAGGCATATGCATTAACATATAAGCTTCATTCTGAGAAACGCTAGTGCCTACAGGGTGATCAGGTTACTTTTACAATTCTAGAATGACTAGACACATAAATCGTATGCAAAATATGTCATCGATAGCTCCCCAGGTTTGCACCTTTTGCATGATCGCATTACCGATTCCTACCATATCCCAGCTCCATCATGTGTGAAGCAGCCAGATTCCGTCACAGCACAGTAACAACCAACAGCACAGAACAACGCCACGAACCACTTGGAACAGACCAAGCAGCTCTTTTGCTGGCAGCCTTTGAACACGTTTAAACCTAATTCCTCTCTGTCACCTGCAACCTCACGTCAGTGTGAACAGGCGAATGTAAGAAAAAGAACCTGGCCTGTCTTAACATATGGGATGTAACAACGAGAAGCAACATGGGACCCCCATACTAAATGGACAGTGTGTAAAATGTGTCTAATGACATCAGCAGGATGATGAAAAGCTGGCTTGTCAGCACCTCTTGATCCATGCCGACCACATTTCCCCATACCACCAAGGAAGACAGAGAGGGAAGACAGGAGAAACAGTTAAGGTCGTAGAAGAAGGGTGGAAGGGAACTGGGAAGAGATTGACTTCAGCTAAAGGACACATGAGCTGAATGGAGTATAAAGACGAGATTCATTGTCTAATTGATGATGTAAAAAGAAACATGTGCAGGAAAGGGAAAGAATGATAAGTCCACCCATCCTTCAGCAGCTTCTCTGAACACACCAACCCAGACAATGACTGTTTTCTAGGGGGATACGGCTCTGATCTCCCCTCCGTGCCCTGGGGCTTACGCAAGGATTCAACACTAATGCACAACATAATTCAACCCAGAACTACAAGAAATCTCAGGCATCTAGCTATAGACCCTAGTCCCAAATACAGAGAAATACAACAGGGTTAAGTCTAACAGCAACATTTCACTTGCTGTATCTACAACAGAAAAGTGCCAAAACTCACATCTGTTGTATTCAGTATATGCCTATTATAATACACTATCCTTAATTTATAAATGGGATTACAAGGTACCTCACTCACAATAAAAGGTTGCATCTGGTGAGAGTCCGTAAATGCCGCTGCATGGGAGCAAGTTAGCCATAATGATGTTACACTAACAGATGTTGGCCAGTTATTCATCTCCCTGCCAAGGTCTGTTCCCACCGGAGCGCAGACACACATGCTTCCCTCTATGAGCCAGGAAAACATATTGGCTAGATTTTGTATATCACTTAAGAAGAAATCTGGTTCTGAAGTAACTGCTGCAAAATGTGTAGCCACATGCACCTGGAACAAAGATAGTCATGCTTCAATGCTACAGCATCCAAAATAATAATTGTCCTGAAAGTTTTTACATTTTTGAAAATGTGCTAATTCACCTTTGTTTGGTTTGTAGGCTATAGCGGACAAGAAGGAATTAGCACCGTCATCTGTTAGCTATGATGCAACAGTTAGGAGACAATTAACTTAGCGTAGCCTAGCTAAATTCAGAATGGAAACTGCTAACTCTGTCAAAAGGATTAAAAAACTCTGCCTACCTGCAACTCTAAAGCCCACAAATAACATGTTGCAATTGGAAAAGCCTTAGCTGTTTCTCCCTGTTGCAGGTATTTTTGCTAAGCTAAGCTCTAACTTACTGTTTATGATAGCTTAACTTTTGCCTATCAATCTTTTCTCTGCAAGAGGCTGTGTGTCTCTGTAGCTGAGCGTGCTTGCTGACCTCCCTGTAGAAATGTGTAGAAAAACAAATGTCCCTATGGGAATAAATAAATGATTGCAATGTTATCTATTATTGAACCGAAATGTTCCATTCCATTCTCTCTGCTTGGCTGGGCATCAGTACAGTACATACTTCGTCCAGAGCCTTGGTTCAATGACTAAATATAGACAACAGGCGGAAGTCCCATTCGTGAAAGGGAACCTCCTGAGAAATCACCCCTGCCCCACGGTGATCGGTCAAGCATGAAAATAATAGTTACCTGAAGCGCCAATGGTGCGTGGTTCATTACGGTGGTAATTCTCAAACAGCGGGACAGTCCCATGTTAGGTAACCTCACAGTGGCACTAAATCTGCCTCAAGGAAAGCTCCCTTTGACCCTATGGTTGCTGACAAGCCAGGGCAATGTAACATTTGCCATCTGGTACATGGACTGTTAACGTGTCAAATAAACAGTGACAAAGGATTCCCAATGTTTAGAGCTGCTTCTGTAAATGGAGCTGAGAAATACAGCAGAGGAGATGATAGCGATCAACACTGCCATGTGTTTTAATTGTGGGGGATCAATGAACTTTTATTTTCTCTCAGTATGTCTGTGGTTTTATGGTCTCAGCTGGAAAACAGACAAAACATGACTCCAGTCAATAAAATGTTGGCTTTCTTTCTTTCATTGTCTCCCTTTTGTCTATGTGTCCCTCTGCACTCCTTAACCCTTATTAGTCTGTCTCTTAAACCCCTCCTTGCCACCATTAAAATATCTTGTAACTAATGAGCCCCACTAATAAGAGGCTGGCACAGCACCATCGTCACAAATCCACTAATCTTGCCATGACTGAAGCCAAGAGAGAACGGGATACACCTAATGGCCTGCAGTGCAGCAGAAAAACAACCTCGATGGAAGGACATCCCTGCATGTGTTGAAAGAAATCTGACTTATTCCTGGCTAAACGTTCATCCGTCTCAGAGCCTCTGCCTTCCCTTAACCCCAGAAGTGGATGGGGATGATCTGAGCATCTATAAATCAGCTGCTGAGGCCTGTTCAATATCAGACACAGAGAAATAGAGAAGGAGCATCTAGAAAGGTGGTGGAAGCCTAAAGATTAAAGAAACAGATTTTAAAGCCTGTTGGTTTAAATCCACAGGAATCTGGCGGGGGGAATGATTACCACCTTGCACTCCTTAAAAAGTGTCCTCAAGCACTGCACTGCACTCTCAAGGTATCATACAAGTGTTTGTTACCATTCCTTCTCTTGGATACTCCCTTTTCCCACAACAATTTCCTCTTTGTACTTTGACTTGATAAAAAAGAGAAAACTTACGTGTGTTCATTGATGTTATTATCTGACCAAGCTTGGCAAGTGATGTTTGACTTTGTCCAAGATCGTCTCCCTCTGTAGTTGTCCTTGGTGCCGATGATACATTCCCTTATATAATCTGTGAAAGACCAAAGGGGAAAAAAGCATTTGAAAACATTTCAACATTCATGTTCTCGATTTTACAAGCTGTCTCTGTGTACTCTGTGTGCAAACTTACACATCGTTTAGTCATTTAATAGTCAAGTTGGTTCACTGCTATGAACACCTGGTATATATTTTCCCATGTATGGTCAATAAGACTTTTTTACAGCGAACGTTTTAGTATGTCCCAGCTTGTTTGTTATTCCAAAAACAGACAACTCCCTGAAGTTCATTAAATGTCACCGGGGGGAGTTTCCGTACATTTTGAAGTAAATTCAAGAGTGCTAGATTCCACAGTCTTCATCGGAGAAAGGCTTCGCGTTCCAAGTGTAAACAATGACTTTTTTTGTTTACACTCCACTTAAGTCTGCTACGGGTCATGCAGCTCTCTCCACTGGAGTGATTAAACAGCAGGAGGTTGAGGTGGGTTAGTTGCTTTTATTGTGTCAACAGAAAAACTAAAGACCTTAAAAAGCCGGGAGCCGACGCAAGAAGCACAACCTGCAATCACCTATAAATAATTTGCTTGTTTAAATCCGACGGCCCTTGAATGTTCTCATGAGAGAAAAAAAAACATAATTTATGCCTCACAATTTAATGCCATTTACCTTTTTTTTCATACAAAGTGAAGTTGACGTTGGCTTGCGTCTGCACACCATGGGTGAAGCGGTCAAAAGGAAGCAAGTGGCATTTCCTGTCGTGCCGCTGAAAGTTAAAAGCCCTGTGGAAACATCGGGGAGAAGTAATTGGGAGATGAACAACTGATAAACAACACAAATATGTAAATAGTGAGTCAACACAGGGGGGGAGAGGCAGTGGCGGTTCTAGACCAATTTGACTGGGGGGGCCAGTTATTTTCTGAGGGGGGCACAATAAATGCAGGACGAAAAAGAGAACTAGACAGTATGAAGTAATGGCGCATAAGAAAACAATGCAATACAGTTATTGGTATTTGTTTCAGTACACTTATTTATTTCAGATAGATCTTATAGTTATTACTGTTAGCTTCAGCTTAAGTTATAGTGCAATGTTTGCACTAACACCATATTTATATAAAAAATAAAGGCAATGAACAGTTACATCTCTACTTTACATAAGGGTGTCTGCACAATCTCACATGACAGCAACAAAATCCTGTGGTTTTTGGCAAACCGAGAACCAGAAAATATACATTTAAAAAAAATAAAAAAAATAACTTTTCATTGTTAGGGGAGCCACAGGGGGGTCATAGGTCAGTGTTAGGGGGGCCCTGGCCCCCCCTAGAACCGCCCCTGGGGAGAGGAGTGAGGGGAACACAGGCGTATTTCAGGGAAACATAGAGAGTAAAAGGAAGCTGACCTGCAGTTGAAGTTTTTCTTGACCTTCTTGCACTTGCGGGCGCAGTTTTCCAGCGACCGGCTGCCTCTAACCAAAGGGGGCTGAGGGCAGTCTGTGCAAACCAGCATGTGACCTTCACTCTTCTCATACTTCTGTAACGACTGATGAGTCCTTTTACAAAAACCTGAAAGGACACAAGATCATATCATGTTATCTGCATGTTTTGGTACAGCCATTGGATTTGTTTGAGAATGGCTAAAGCCAGGTTCATTTTGATTGGGAGATACCATCTGTTACTAAATGGAAGATACCTTTCAACTTGGATTACATAATTGGAAAGAATAGAACAGGAGACCTATTTAGATGATCAAGCCAAAGGAAGTCAGTAGGGTAATTAAACCACATGTTTATTGATGTAGTGCTATATTGTTGATGTACAATGTATTTTTAAGCCTTTACATTACCAACTTAAGAGTCAAATGGAGGAAGTGGAACTCCTCGTACAATAATGTGTATTTGCAAGTCTTAAACATTGGTTTCCTCCACATCTCTACCATTTGCATCTCACGTGATTTTAATGCCGAATGAGTGGTTTTTCAAGGACTTATCTAGCCAGTGGACAGCTCTGTCAGAACTATTTTGCTATCTAATACGCCCAGAGGACAAGTTAGCTGCTGTCTCTGTGATGCCGTCATCTTTTTTTAATTGATCTAACTAACCAGGGTAAGCTTGTGTATTAATTCCATTTATGTTTATTCATTTTAATAAATGATATACTTAGTGGTTCAAAATAACTTTTTCAGAAAATATTATTAGTCAGGAGCTATTTTTTGCATGTTTCAACCTCTCTGTTCCCTCATTTCCTGTCTTCTCTGTCAGCTATTGATTTCAAGTAGAAATACCAAAAAACGAATCCAAGAAGCCATGTGTATTTTATTTGTCTCCTCTTCATTGACAATGCATCAACGTTACATGATGTCAGAGACATGGCCAAACATTTCTCTGCTGTTGTCAAGGTGCTGGAGCGAAGAGGAACTTGTCAAAATGAGCATATTTCCCTGAGTTTCCTCAAGGTGACTAGACTATCTGAACGACGGCATCAAGAAGAGTCTTGCCATGAAGAAAGTGAAATGATTTAACTGCCATATATTTAATTGGTTAACCATGTGTTCGTGAAAGCACCCTTCAACTACGTTTTGCTTTACAGCACCATGTTCTTGGTATTTAAGCATCCGTCCTGCTGAATCATACTGAAACATCGTTGTGCTAGTGAAGTGCGTCCAGGATCAAAACCCAGCTCAAAATGCTCCCCAGTACTCTTGTTTCAGAAAAGGGATTGCTGCCTGGATCCTGCTTGGAACAGAGTGGATGCTGAACGGTTAAAACAGCCAAGAGAACAAATGATGTCCTTCCAACTGGCTGATGGTTTGAAAGTGCCTAAGTGACTCAGTAGGAGATTGAATGCTCATGAAACAATATCTGATATTTTAATGCTTTTAAACCGAGCCACAAATCCACAACATGTTATTATTTCATGGAATTTGTTATCAAATCAAATCAAGTTTTATTTATATAGCACATTTATAAACAATTTTTGGTCGAGCCAAAGTGCTGTACATATAATAAAAAATAGCCTACAGTAGAGACACTTTACAGCAAATACAACAGCACAGATTGTTCAGAATATCAGTATGAGAAAAAACACCCTCTGTCCTTAGACCCTCACATCGTACAAGGAAAAACTTCCAGAGAAAACCCCAGTTTAAGGGGAAAAAATGGGAGAAACCTCAGGGAGAGCAACAGAGGAGGGATCCCTCTCCCAGGACGGACAGACGTGCATCATGTTACAGTTTAAAGTTATTAAACAAGACTAATCCCCACAATAACTTACACGCATGACCCTTTTAGTCACGAACGTCTGACTGCAACTCCTGCTGTTTAATTACAGTGACATTTAGTTCATTCCTTTTCATTTTGAGCAATAAGGCTGGCATTTATTTTTGTTGGGAGCAAAACAAAATGCAGCAAGCTTTGGTGTCACTTAACATTTCTAAAAAGTAATTAAGTGGTATGTATATGTTTCATGTATAGTATAGTATATATAGTATAGTGTCTCAGTTATTGTCATCCAAAGCACAGAAAATATACAGTATGTGGAAAAATGGAAAACTGCCAAAGTTGGAGAAAGGACACACTATCATGAATTATTTTTAGTTATAGGACATTGTTGAGAGTCTTTGATTTGGAAAATATATCAAAGTAGAATTCTAACATTGCAAGACATACTATACTGTATATGAGATCCAAACGGGGTCACAAGCAGGACAAAACCATATTTTTTGTCCAAATCCTCTGTGACGCAAATCATTCATTTCTACCTATACTGGAAAAGATTATGAGCCAATCCATCAGAAGAATAAAGCTCTACTGTAAATGCTGTTCATGAGGGCCACATCTTAAAATGCATTATGTGTTAAGTTACAATAGTTTCCCGTTTATAATTAGGGGCAAGTGCGATATAAATCACACAGGAAAATCTCATGCTACTGAGTTACAGCTCCACGCTCCTGTGCCAAGATCCGACACAAGACGTTGTGTGTGTACTTAGGATACTGTAAACTGTGGAGCGTTTAGAGGCTCCTCGTGGTTGAAAATGGTTTTTGGGGAGGACTTGTTATTAATGTTTAGGCTCCACTGGACCACATCTGGCACTCATCACAGTGTTGTTCCAGCCCTGATGTCTGGCCAGGCTGCTCAATTAGATTTCACTTAGTCTCTTCCTCTCCTTGCAGTCAGACTCCTGCTATCTCCAAATCCCAACCTATTCGCTGAGGTTGGAGATTATAATAAAACGTGCTCAATAGGCAAGTGTGAGAGAGGTGAGACGTAATGAGAAGAGGCAGCCGTATAGCTTACAGGGACACACGTTTGAGTCCCCTAGTTCAGCTTGAAAAATGTGGATAGGAAAGGCCAATGACCGGCACTCTGACCTTCCTCAGGAACCTCCACTTGGGTGCCCTTGAGCGAAGAACTTAAGTGTCAGCTGGATAAGTATTTTAGTCCGGCTTTCCCTGAAAACGTGCTGCAAATGAGCCACTGTCGATATTCACAAAGGGTATAGGTAGAGTTGAAGAAAGAATATGATTATGAACAACAGGAAAGTAGCAGGTTAAAGGTGTCCCTCAGTCTGGGAATTAAGCAGACATTACATCTGCTTCAGAGAGCGCAAAATGTGGAACTCATGGGCTCAACAGCCAGATGTTAGCCCCCCCCCAACTACCACCACCTCTCCCTCACACACACACATGCACCACACACACACACCCCTATTCTATATCTCTACCGGGACAAGCGCACGAATACCTCGGGCCAGAGCGCGCATGTTTTACTTTCCCCAACTCCAGGGAGGTCAGGGTCGGCACCCCTGGAGGTGGTGACTCTGGATGCAGTGCTTTGCTCAGTGACTTGACTTGTCAGCGCGGCGGATGTAAACCGAGACTGTAACTATCCGAAAATCTGCGCTTGATAAAGGAGCGGCGGCACGGAGCTCGTTTGGACGCGTTTAATGAGGCTTGGCCGAGTGTGTGCGCCAAAGTTGCGCTGCGGAGCAACTTTTAACACATTCAACGCGTCATATTGGTCACTGAAGTGGAGTCGATCCAAGTGATGCAGCATGGTCTATTACGCAAATTACCAAAACGTTATTTTATGAAAATTCAGTGACATAATGCGTATCAAACCAAGCTCTTTGGCACGGGTTTCTACCTCAAGGCAGCTGCATTTCCACAGAAGCGAACTTGTCATAATTCACTTCAATATTATTAAGCGACACAAAAACATATTAAATGCATTAATCATATTTGACATTTAGATTTTGCAAAATTGCTATTAGATCCAAATAAATTGAAATAATGGGGAAGATAGGTTTGATGTGCTGCTGAGATATTTCATTTGAAGTTTTATTCTACAAGACAGTGTATATGAAGTTATTACAGAATATGGACTGTAGGCCTACATAGTTTTTCTCCCAGTTAAAAAGAAAGAACATAGCCTTGAGGGGGTTCACACAGTTCTTTTAACAGCCACAGTCATTTATCAAACAGGGCGAGTCAAATCAACAGTGCAAGTGAGGGCTTGTGATAAACTTTTATGCAAATATCACTCAAAGGCTTTCATTTAAAAACAGATTAGTCAAAAGGAAATGAAGTTTATTTGCTACATAAAGTCTAGTCCTGACAGCCAAAAAAGACGTTTGGCAACTTTTACATCTTTCATTTTCAGAGTTGTATTCTCAATATGTCTCACTTTAATGCATATGCAGAAAAGAAAGATTAGATTTTTTACATGTTTAAAATAAATGTCATTGCTCTTGCACATGCTCTAAATCTGAAGCACATCTCTTACCTGTATCCAATATAGTGGCCACAACACACGCCACAGCTTGGTAAATCCAAACGTTTATCCTCATGGTTAGGAGCTTGAAAGCAGGATAAATTCCGGATATAATGAGCGACAGGGTGCCTGGTGTCCAGCAGAAGACTTGCTTTCCTCACACAGATGCCACTTTTCCAAGAAACCACACGTCCTCGGTTCAACCCCCTTTTACTTGACTTTGTGCTCCTCTCTATCAGCGGCTCTCCTCACCCCTGTCAAGTGCTGGGGAATAAATAGGGCTACTTCCGGATGTTATTTTCAAAATAAAACCGGATATGACTCACAAGCCAGATGTTGAACACGTCAGTCTGATGATAGTATATTTTTCACATTGTAAAAAAAAAATCCAGAAAAATCCAAGAATTAATGCAAATTACACAAAAATATAGCCTGTGTATCCAAAGTCTTAGAGAGTTTATTTATATGTTGTAATATAATTGTTTTAACCAATGACATGTCGCTTCTTTGTGAACATGGGAACTTTATTTTGTGTTCATATAATATTCTCTTACTTTTTACTAATATTTGACAACATTTGTACATGTTATCAGGAAAGCCAGACATATTTGTTTTACAGAAACAAATAAGTAATCTGTAAACATTTCTCATTTGCAAGTCATACTGTATTCTGGCTTGATAGACCGGTTTGAAGAGAACTTTATTATAATGTATCCTTAATATGTCAAGCAAGCCCTTTAACATTGTCATGAAGTATTGTCTTATCAACATTTATAACTAAAGTAAAATATTTTATTATTAAAATATATTTTTGGTTTCGGTTGTGTTTGACTTATGAGTGAGTGAAAAACCCACACATAATATCATTAACTACCTATAAACATTCATAACTGCATGTTTGGTGGCATACTATAAAGCGTGTAATTCAATTTTTTATGACTTTTATTGACTCCCCAACCAGCCAGACCTTTTACAACATTGCAACCCTAAAGGTTTTATTTAATGTATTTAAGCTCAAACATGAGGCAACAATTTAATTACCAATATTAAGGTCAACTAATAAACTCTTTATGGTGTGTTTAGAAATGTATACCTCACACGTTGATCTTATAGCAACAGGTGGTTATGTTTAACTCAATATTAGAATTAGGAAAATGAACTGATGGAAACTAGTGGTGGCCATACAAAATATAATGTACCTTGCTTAGGGCTGCAGGTCATCAAACAGGTTCTTAAAAAAATATATATCTGTCTCTCCTCATCCGCCTCACTTCGGCTTCAACTGAAAAGGCAGATGGGAAACTCTTCATGTGTGCCAGAGAACATTTGGCTCCAAGTAGTGATTGCATCCTCAAAGGATTAACCAGTTGCAAAATACCATACTGTAACATACAAAGTGCAAAAGCATATAACGTCAAGCAGAAAAGAGCCTGAAGTATCCATCAGCAAAACTGTACATAATCCTGATGACACGGTTATCATTTCATTATAATGAAAGCTGTTGACTATATATTTCATGTGTCAGGATTTTTTTTTTAATTCTCAGTCTGTTAATTTGTGATTAATTTGTTGAATAAAAAGACAAATTACAAACACCTGATGTACTGATTCAGGGCTACAGTTTTTGCAACATCATAAGACAACCTCTTTGTATATACCGTGATTAAAGACACAAAATATTTTTGGGAATATTTGCCCCGCGGTTCAAACAGTCACCACAAAAGAAGGTAAGGATAACACAGTGCCAAGATTCTTTTCACGGCTTAGATGAGAACCGGTAGCAATGTTCTCAAAATAAGTTGGGGGCAGTGTTACGCCCAGGCAGGGGAACCTAGGCGTAGCACAAAGTTGCACTCTCCCCACTTTTCCCACTCCCAAGAACATGGACACCAAGGCAGAGAAAACATTTGGTAATTTAATTACCAAATCAGAATCACAAAAACATGCTGAAAGTCTGTTTACAAAATAACAGCAGGATTTCACCTCTACTATTGGAATCATATAGTCTAGATATCATCAGTTATCCCATAACGCACTTTGCTAAATTAGACCAATCTTATGAAACTGTGAGGCAAAATAACACTACCTTAAAATGTGGAGTCAGGCCATGGTTTAAATTAGCCATGTGTTTGTTTGTGGTACTTACATTATGTCAGTGGCTGCAGCAACTTGAATCTAGCCATCATAAACCACAGGCTGGTGGAGCTCATTTCGGAAGATATTTCTGCAAAACAAACATAGACATCTATGACATAACGGCGAAACTGTAACCTCTTCAAAAGAAAGAGGTGTTAAATAAAATGTAGTGACGATTAATGGTTTTTGTGTTAATGTAAGAGCAGGTAAAACAGACCGGTTAAATTTGACCAGGATCACACAAGTTAAGAATAGCAGGTTTAAAGAACTATACAGTTTATAATATACAAGGGTACTACTTGATATGTCTCACACGCTACTGCATGCAAGTTTTTAAAGTCCAATATATCTTTACCATATACATGTTACAAAGATAATTGGAGTTTAAAAGATCCATAAAGGTACAATAAGGTCACTATAAAAGGCAAAATTAAGCACCGCAGACCAGGTTTAAATCCCTAAAGGGACTATATAAGACATTAGGTTTGTGTATTTGTGTGTGTGTTTAGATGGGGCAGCTGGAAGTAATCCTATTTAGGTACCAGCGAACAGGACTTTTGTTGGGCCCTAACCCTTATTTGACAGGAAATCCACACTTTAGCCGTTAACGGGCAGCGGACTTAAAGCCCTCCAGAGAGAGAGCAGCAGGGGGAAGAAATGGTTTGAGGTAAATGCCAGATGCCCGGCCCTCCCTCATTAAGACGCGTGCAGGTCATTCCATTTTTCTTTGGTCCCTTTTTTCTCCCTTTGGTCTGTGTGTGTGTGTGTGTGTGTGTGTGTGTGTGTGTGTGTGTGTGTGTGTGTGTGTGTGTGTGTGTGTGTGTGTGTGTGTGTGTGTGTGTGTGTGTGTGTGTGTGTGTGTGTGTGTGTGTGTGTGTGTGCGCACACATAGGAAAGTACCAGCAGGTGTAGAGGTGTGTGTGTGCTCAGCGGCTGTAGGCCTTGGCAGCAGGCACGGCGGTGCACTGCACACCGTACACACATCACGCCAGAAACGTCAATCAGTGTCAGTGCAAAGAGGAAATCCAGACGCTCAGAAAATCTGACTTGGAGCAAATGTCTTTGTATTGGTACCCTTTGAAATAGCTGCATCCCATGTGCATCACAAGCATCAGGTAAATAAGTTAGGTTTGACATTTGATTATGCAGCAAGGGAGAAGATGTTGGAAGTGGGAGTGTTCTTTCAACAACAATCCAAAGCAATGGGAGCAATTACTTCAATGATTTATTTAGTTTCACTCAAAGCTTCGAGCCTATTGCTGAGGATTCCAAAACATTAGTCATTCTGCAGCATTGTTATTTGTAGCACGGGAATTTTGGTAGCCTTATGATTTACAAGATTGATGAGCAACTTTATGCCAACACTGGTTTGAGATCATATTAGTGTGATTGACATTGTTTCATCACAGCCAACAATAGATTCCGGTTTTTGTGCAAACACAAACGGCTTCTTACTTCAGTTCCAGATGATTTACAGGTATTTTTGGATGACATTTAACAAAATTACTTCATTAGACAAAGGAAGGATGGGCATTCAAAACCAAAAAAAAAGAAGTAATGTTTCTCTCCTTGGCTTGCCTTTTTGCTTTTGATGTGTTTAGCTGGAAACAACCACATAATGCTCCTTTCCTTTTAGCTCTTGCCTTTCCCCTTTCCTCTTTCCCACATAAACACACACTTATTTCATGGCCTGCTGAGCCATGTAAAGAGGTGTGGACAGGGGAAGTGAGGAGGCAGAGAAGGGAGACCCAGAGAGATGGGTATGTTCATCATCAGTCAGAGATTAGAGCTTTTGTTCCAAAGGGCCAGGACCTGCCAACACACACAGAATAAAGCCTGAGTTGACTTGCTTCTTCCAGCACTGTGCCAAAATGTGTGATTCTTATTTTTTTTTTACACACAGCTGTGTGCTTATCCAGCTGGCAGCTTCAAATCTATAAATTAAGAGCAGTAACGTGAATGTATGTTAAACCAAAAGTGAACTATCAGTGAGAATGAAGTCCTGACTCCCGGGCCTGCATATTATCCACATTTTTTAGTTTTCAAAATGTTGCTATTTCTTTTTTTCTTTTTTTACCTGGAGTCACCTGATGGGGGTCCAGGTGTCCATGCCTTGACCTAGGGCAATATCATTAACACCATCCAATAGGCAGTTCCTTACCCCTTTTCTTCTAATTACTTTACACCCCAGCTGCCCAACAAACACATTCCAACACATGAAGGAGGCTAATCACCGGTGTGATCTCCCCCTTTTCACCTCTGACCCCCCAACACTAGAATAACAACGTCCATACCCACCGCCCAACCCCTCAACGCTTAACCCCCCCCAATTAGGAGGGTGCTTTTCCTCTTGCAGATGACAGATGAGGGGTCAGAGGGTTGTCGGACCCCCTTGCTTGTTTCTCCTTGTGCCCGCTGAGGGATGAAACAGGAGGGCGTCCTTGCCTTTGGGAGTGACAAGGAAAAAGATCCAGACATGGAAGTTGTACTGACATAGATAAATGACTGTTGGAGAACTGGGCATAGGAGCGCAAAGAGTGGGGAAGGGGGGGGGAAGCGGATGAGAAGATAGGATGTTTGTGGAGTTCAGGAAGAAAAAAGACGTTCAAGGAAAAGTTTAAAGTTGAGACTGAAACGAGACAGAAGAAAGAGTAAAACAACTGCGGAAGGATAGGAAATTCGTTAAAGGTCAGGGAAATACATAGTGAAGCATTGAATGACCAAAGCAGAAACAATTAAATCGAGAACAGGGGAGGGAAAGACAGAGAGAGAGATAAGGCAGCACTCGCTGTGCTGAAAAGCTGCAGCCTTTTTCCTCCACTGCAATAAAAGCAGAGCTGCAGTCCAATGAATCAAGCGTTGGGGGCTTTCCTTTCTCTGTTGTGTGTTATGTCCACTGCTAATGGCCAGCAGATGTGGAGGTATTTCACAAGTGTGGCTTTGGAAAACATTCCCGCACATAAATCCAATTAGCTCGGACCCTGCACACGAGCTAGCAAGCAGGCGAATGCGCTTATGACCGCCCATAAGCTCCACAGTCACCGTTGACTTAAATAATCTGATTTCTCACAGAAGTTAA